TTTATCCAACACAATGGATGAACTATGAGCTATTTATATGAAATAGTATTTAACAGACTTCCTTTACCTGAATCAGCTCAGCACTCATGCTCTGCAGGATCATCTAACTGGGCCATTAAAAGTCATAGGCTCGGTGCCTGGAGCCCATGAGAGTGTTGAAGGCTTCTAAAGCCTCTAAAAATATAATTTATTTTAAAAATAAGAAGAAAAAATAAACTTTGAGGTTAAAGAAAACACTTAAATCTACAGGAATAATATATTCATCTTTATATCAATGCACTCACAAAATATAGTTTTATTTAATATGTGCACTTTAGTCATCACTTTGTTACTATAACAAAATACCAAAAGCAGGCTAGCTTATAGGTAAAGAGGTTGATGTAGTTCACAGCTATGGAAACTGAGAGTCTAAACAGCATGGTGCAGATTCTTGCAAGTGTTTCCTTTAGCTGCATGAACTCATGGTGGGTTGGGATGTTGTGGGAACACCCGTAGGAACAAGCCATCATACTAGGGGCCAGGAAGCCAGGGGACATGGGGGAGGCTCACCCCTTTATCAACACTCTGTGGGGAGAAGGACCAAGGATTCACAAGAGAACTGCCTTCATCTCTTTCATGGACACATCATCAATGACCTAAGAACCTCCTCCTAGGCCCTGCACCTTAAAGGTTCCATCACCCATAATGACCACCACCCTGGGGACTAAGCCTTTCACAGATGGGCACTAGGGGGACATTCAGACCTAAATCATAGCAGTGAGGAAGGGGATCACTGAGGCAAAAGTCCTGTAATTCATAACTTGCCCTGCAACCACACATGCCAACAGTAAATCTGGTGTGATAAGAACAAAAGTCATGTTTTCAGAAAATAGAATTACCCAGGAAACCATTAATTAGAGATGGGTGGGCTTTCTGCACATATCTATAGATAAATTAGGAGAGGGTGGGGAGAACATGATGGGAGATCTTAGTTGGAAGGACTCAGCTCCTCCATGTTTTGTGGACATGACTTTCATTTCCTTTCTCACAAGCACACTGCTTTGGCTAATTAGCAAATCAAAAGAAATAAAAACAATTCTAGACCTCAGCACAATCAAATTAGTGGAGTTATTCAAGGATACTGCTTTCTGGCAGAGCAATCATGATCTCTTTGTTTTGGTCAAAACCAGTGAAAATTATCTGGACAACCCAACACACTCCCATCACTCAGTCAGCTCGGTGGATAACAGCATTTCCTAGCAGCTCTCTTCAGTTTTACAGATGATCTTTTTCTATGAAGACCGGAATGAATGCACAATGCACAATTAAGCAATACCCATGGAGCTTTCCATACAACAAAGATCTTTTAAAAATACATTTGACTTTTCAGGTGATTCAGCAGTAAGAGCCATTAGCACACCATCTAAATCAGGACTTGGAAAGTTTATTAAAATTGGATTTTTAACCTGATCCCAATTTCCTCTGCTTGTAAAGAATCCCACTGGACTCTTTAATATTCATGCTATTAACCTTAAAGTTGCAAGTGGCCATGATGAAAGGAGGTGGTATACAGGGCCACTCAAGTAGAGAGGGGTTACAGGTAAAATCCCCATGGAGTCCGGGTAGAGTGAATGTGGATCTTACACATCTTCAGAAGAAGCAAGAACACTCCCCCCCACCCCACCTCCCCTTCTCTCAATCTTCCTCCTCCCCCCATCAGCCCCCATCCCAAAGCCCATTACATATTGGTAGGAAAGATAATAAGCAGAATGAAAGCAAGCAAACCACTGAATTACAAAGAGCACTGGAGTAGGAATCTAGTTGTTACTGGAGGCAAGCTGCCCTAGATAAATCCCTCCCTTCTCTGCTGTACCAAAAAACTCAGTCAATGACAAAGGGCTAAAGACTTGCAAACCTGCTTAAGAGCAAACCTTTATTCCTATGTCACCTTGAACAAATTACTTACCTTCTGTAAGCTTCAGTTTTCCTATTTGTAAACTAAGGAAATCTCAGCTTGAAGGAAATGGTGGTAAGAACAAAAGGTGGAGCTTAGATAATTCATTTTATACAGAAGCTCCAGTTATATCAATGGCTGTTCCTGCAGAATGCTGACCAAATTCGTAGGTCAGCTGCATTTATTGCAACTTCATTCCTGAACCTTCATCTTCTGCGAACATAGCTCGCATGGTTAACCAATACCAGTAGGTTTTTGTAAAGGTGGGCTGTGAAAATAGGGTTTGTTTTTCCAGAAAAGATCTTATGTGCCGTTTGGGCAATGGCGATGTCTTAACCTGTCATTTTTCCCTCAGTGTTGAATACATACTAGGTGCTCAAGAAACATTTTAATCACTTAAATATCAGGAGTGTAGGTTATCTACTAATGTGCTCTCATTTTCCAGCTGATAACACTGTATGGGCCACACAACTATGACGGACAACTGCTTTTCCAGTTTTCTACCATCATGTCTAATAGTCTCTATTCTTACACCTTCAGCTTTAAAACAGAGATAATATAGCTGACCCAAAACATCACAACTTAAAAGAAATTAAACCTACAAAGGTTTAAAATAATAAATGTATTCATTTATCTGAGCACAGTATGTTTCAGACACCATGCAAAATTCTGGGGAGTGATAATTATGCCATAGTTCCTTGCTCAAGGCACTTCTAATTTGCTAGGGAAGTTGACCCTAAAGAAGATAGTTTTGCCGCAATGTTTGTGCATTATAGCAGAGCTGTGACAAAATACCTGAGAAAAGCAACTTAGAGGAGGATAGTTTTATTTTGGCTCACGGTTTCAGAGATTGCAGTCCATGGTTGGTTGGCTCCAAGACAGAAACATCATGGAGGATGGGCATGGCGAGGAAAAACTGCTCACCTCATGGCAACCGGGAAGGAGAGAGAGAGAAAGACAGAGAAAGACACACACACAGAGAGAGGTAGAGAGAGAGAGAGAGAGGAGAGAGGGAACTGGATGGGTGTTGGAGGAAAGGACCTACTTTTTAACTGGGGGCTCCAACTTCCAATAGCTTATTCAGATATGAACTCATCAGTGGATTAATCCATCAATGGGAGTCAGCTCCAACATGATCCAGTCACCTCTCTAGGCTCTAATTCCAGGCACTGCTGTCTTGAGGACTGAGGATTTGGGGACACTTCATATTTAATCAAGAACAGGTACCATATGAGCATCTAGTGAGGAGCTTCAACTCAAGCCCAGAAGACATCAGAGTAGATGTCTAGGAGAGGTGGCAAATCGCTAGGCAGAGACAAAACTAAACAGAAACAGAAAAGTCCTGTCCAACTCCTCCTTATTTCAACAGAAGAACACTGATTACTGACCAGTTAATGGTTGCAGAAATTGAAAAGAAGGGAGAGAGAGGACAACTGCAATGACAGTTGTCAAATTCTTGTCATTTGCCAGACAGGCCTGGAGTCATTTCTGCAAATGGAAGCCACTAACAGAGACCAGGGTCAGGACCTGTGGTTCTAGTTCCTTTCAAGGCCTATTAGTAAGCAATTAAGTAGGTCAGTTAATCCGCCAGCGTGCAAATGCAATTTCTGCTAGTCTTTTTTGTCTCACAAATGACTTGTGAAAGTAATCGTGGCAACGCAGAGCATCAAACTGCTCCCTAATGCTGAACAACTCATGATCTGCAATGTGCCTGGCTGCTAGCAGGAGCTTAAAGATATCGGAATCGCCAGGGCTTTAGTCATGGACTTCATACCTGGTTTTACACAACTTTACAGAACGGGAAGAAAGCACTTCTTTTAAATGTAAATTTGAGTGCTAAGGTTTTTCAAAGGGCAGCTTTAAAGTGACATTTTAAAATTCACATTTTTTTACCTAAAATGGGCATGCCAACATCACTCTGACTCAAAGTAGTACCCATAGCCATTAAAACGCCTGAAGGCTTATTTTTCAAGAGGAAGGCGTGGTCTCAGCCTCCCAGAGCCTTCTGCCTATATCCGCCAGAAAATACAGTACCTGGCATTGCTTTACCTTCTAGAAGGACAGAGGCTAATTTTGGCAGGAGTTAAGGGGTCACTGTTTTATAAAAACCTTCTTTTAAGCGGGAGAATATTAATTAAAAAATATAAATGGCAAATCTGGCTCCTTTCAAATATTTCTTACAAATCTTAAGATATAAGAAATATATAAAAATCCAAAAGAAGTTACGTTGATGTGCATTTGATTTTCTGAAATTCATATATGCGGGGCTTTTTCTGGCTTGACTTTGAAACCACGTATTTTAGCTCTGGTAAGCCGGCAGCCCAGTTTTGGGGTTCTCAATTTCCACCGCTCCAAAGCTTAACTTGATCTACTGTGCGCTGCTGGGTTCTCACTGCAAATCTCCCGGGCTTCGAACTGGGACAGGACCAGAAGGACTGGACGTCTGCAATCCTCCTTGGCGCCCAGGAGACGCGCGCTCTCCTCGCGAGTCCGCACCGCTCTGCCACGCGGTGGGCGCGCTCAGGGCGACGCCGCGTACTCGGAGGCCGAGTCCCGGCGGTTCCGTTGCGGCGCGGCCGCAGGCGGATTCCGGAGAACCCAGCCACGTCCTGCCTCCAGGCCCGCAGGCCGCGCCGGCGTCCGAGGCGGGTCCCCACAGGCCGGCCAGGGAGCGGGCAGATCCCGGGACTGCAGGCACGGAGAGCGCGGGCAGGTGGCGCCAGGCTCGGGCCAGCCCGGGGCGCGGAAGCGGACGGGCCTCCGGACGAGGCTGCTATGCGGGGCGCCCGTCTGGCCCGCACTCCGGGCCTCGGACTGAAACTCGAGCTGCGCGCCGGGCAGCAGTGGGCGCTCGAGATCCTCTCTGCCCGGCGCGCTCCCTCGGGGCCCGGCCTCCTCGCCCCTCCTCCTGCTCCTGCTCCTCCCCCTGCTCCTCCCCTGCCCGGGATCAGGCACCAAAACGCCCGCCTGCGAGGTACTCTGCGCGCTGGCAGCCCGGAGCCGCCGCCGCCGGTCTCTGCGTCCCCTTCCCGCCCGCCGGACTCTGGGGTCCCGGGGTTCGCCCCACGGCCGCGAACGCTCGGCGGCGCTGCCCATGGCCCAGTCCGAGAGCCGATTCGGGGCGCCCGACGGGCTGGACCGCTTCGCGGCTCAGGTGAGTGGGGCGCGGCGGGGCGACTTCGGCCGGCGCGCGACTTGGGCTGGGTGCGGAGCCCCAGGTGAGTGGCGGCCAGCGCAGGCGAGCGGGGACCGAGGGAGGGAGACCGGGCTTCTCCCCTGCCTCCGCGGACCCGGGCCCTGTCCCCGGAACTCTCCGGGACCGGGCTGTGAGGACTGGTGTGAGTTTCTGACTCCGCTGGGCTGGATGTGTTTCCGTGGCAGAGCGAGAGCTGCGCTCCGGCGGCCACCGTGCGCCCCCGGCTTCTACTAGGACCAGGCAGGCACCACCTGCTGGGGACCCCGGGGTGGAGAGCTGGGGCCGGAGTGCACGGCCCGCGGGGCAGCGCGCCCGGCAAGCCCTGGTCGGATTTAGCTTTCCACGCATTTGGGGTGGCGAGGGGAACCGGTGCCTCCCGAGGGACAGGGCTGAGGCGACCGCGCTGACAGCGAGGAGCTGCTCTTCCCGCGGTGCTCTCTCCTGTTACTTTTTACTTTTTTCCCTCCTCGGTTTCTGTTTCGGGTGCCCTCGGCAGCTGGGCACAGGGGTGAGGGAGGCAGGTGCGCATCTGCCCCTGGAGCGCGCGGCCCCTCGCGCAGCCCGACCTGTGCAGCTCCCCGCGGCGGACTCCACGCTGCTCCCTTCTGGTTCCAACCTGTCCTATGCGGGAGCCCGACAGCCGGCTCCCCAAGCTGAACCTGGAGCGCACAGGGGCGAGGCGATGGAGAAGCAGAACCCAAAGCCAGGGCGCAGGCTCCTCGCGCAGGTCCTGCAGCTGGGCGCCTCCGCGGAGGCACCCAGCCTTCTCGCACACCCGAACCCCTGGGGCCTGGAGCAGCACCCCCTCCCCACCCCACCTTGCAGAAGTGGTCGTAGCCTTGCCTTGCCTTGCCTTGCCTGACACTCGCTCCTCCCCTTCCCTTGGCGTTTTCCCCGGCTAATTTTATCCCCAACTTGTGCCAAGATGCTTTTGGGGGCATCCTGGGAGGCGGCTCCGGTTGTACCGTCTTCAGGCTGAGCTCTCTCGGGCAGTCTCCCCCGGTAGAGCAGCGAAGGGCGACAGAGGGAGAGCTGAGCGCCTCTCCTCCCCAGTCCCGGCTCTGAGCGAAGCCTCGTTGGCCCGGGGCCTTCGCCCGGGGCGCTGGGCGACCGCGTGCCCCGCCAAGTCTCCGCGCCCGGTCCGGGGTTTGGCAGGAGCCTCGGCGACTGCGGCCGGAGAGCACATGAGGTCCTAGGTCCCGGGCGCAAGTGCTCGCTCTGCACTCAAACCTTACCTTGTTCCTTAGAAACGCAGGGGCCGGCGTCCACCAAAGGGTAAATTCCAGGAATTCTAAGTTTTAAAAAAATTAAAGAAGGGAGAGATAACTCAACTCCTGCCTGTCTGCTTTTCCAAAGCGCATCCTTCGGCTCTCAGCATTATTCTTGCTTTCTGCTTTCCCGGCAACAGCGGGTGCAATTAGAATCACCCTGACCTACTGAAATTCCAGCGACGGACGCTGCAGCTGCAGATCCCTGCGTTACCCTTTTCTGCATTTCCAGTGCTTAGATTTTTTTTCTTCACAGGACTGCAGAAATAACATATTGAAGCGGACCATCGTGTTATGTAAGGCCTTCTTTTTTCCTCTCAGCGCTAGGCAGGGAAAGGTCCGCTTCTCCAGGCTCGTCTGCCAGTCTCTCTCAGCTGTTTGACAGGGGTGGACAACTTCATGACTAAGCACTCTTAAGCAAGAGCAGTTAATTACAACGGCAGCGTGGAGTGGAGTGAAGATCACACGGTGAGGCTTTCTGAGCTGTTTCTGGCTGCTGTCCACTGTGAGGCTGCCCAGTCTACAGAGCACAGCAGCTTTAGAAAGGGAGATCTTTACTGGGGAAGCTGGTGAGAAAGTGGAGCCTTGGGCTTGCAGATGGGCACGTGAGGGAGCCAGGGCTCTTTACACAGCAGATGGTTTGTCTGTGTGGAGCTTCGTCCCCTGCTCCAGCAGGGCCTTTCCAGGGCTTTTTGCACTACACAGTATAGAGGGGCTCATGCTTAGGCTGTCAAGAGTGCTCTCCTCCTAGAGAAATCCCAGGGGCTTTCTGAGGGCAAAGCCACGTGGAAGCTTTTCTTGCCTTGGATTAAAATTTGGGTGGTGACTGGGAAGGGGCTAGGCAGACAGAATGGCTGGTATGAACTGCTTGTTTGTGCACGCTGCCTGTCCGCGCAGGGCACTTGGCAGTGCGAGCCCACAGCCAGGGCTGAGTCTTGTTCTCTCCTGGACCTAAGCTCGGAGGGATGGAGGGAGGGGCAGTGAAATGTGTCGCTGTTCTGATGGAACGGAACTCAGCCTGCGCCTGAGGTCAGGCTCCAGGCCTGCCCCTGCTCCTACGCTGTGGAGACCCTTGTGGCTGGCACAGAGAAAGGTCCTGGCTGTTCAGAAGAGCAGTAACTTTCCATCCATCTCAAGAGGAAGTAACTCTCCTGGTGGGGCTGGCAAAGGCCAGGCTTGTTTCTGGGGGTTTAGGGAGACTGTGACCCCTCACGCTGGCTCCCTGGACAAACGCTTCCCATCAAGGCTGCTCTCTCCTCATGGGGGACAGCAAGAGACTTACACGTGGGTGGAAGGCCAACTTCCCGGCCCAGGACCAAAGGCAAACTGCCCCTCTCTGAGCTTCCCATGCAAAAGAGATCTCTGCAAAATAGGAATTGAGGCATTTTTAGCAGAAAGTGACAATGTATATGAAAAGTGTGTGAGTGATTGTAAGACTCTTACGGAGTTTTAGTTATTTGATTTACTCTTCCTGTATTTTATTTTGTGCCTCTCTTGATGTCCACGTAAATTGCAGTTTGGGTATGAATGAGTGAATGAGAGTGCTAAACATTAAATGAAGGAAAGGATGTCTTATCATTGGCCAGTTTCTTGTGACCAAAAATTCTTTCAGCCTCAGCCCTTCCTGTTTCTCAGAATTATTCATCTCTTATTTTCAGGATCAGACTTAATTTTTAGACTTCTCGTTTTGTCTTTTAACTTAGTTTGTGACATCTGTCTAGAGAAAATCTGTTTGGAGGGGGAATTTGAAATCAGTTCATCAAAAAGAAAAAAAGATACAAGTTTGGGTAGGCAAATCAGTGGGAGAAAAGGGAATCGTGACCGGTGTCATGGAATGGCCTGGGTGTCCCTTATCTAAATCTGTCATCAGAGGGAGCACTAGCACTTGACTGGCATTTTAATTGTTCATTTCGTAGATGTTCCTTAGATAAATGTGTTGGAGAAGTGAATGAATGATTGATCGGAAGCTTCGCAGCAATCCCAGAGAGCAGATGGCGTCCTTTCTATTTTAAAACTCAGGACACTGTAGATTAGGAAGCTTCGTTAATTTTCAGAAAGTACGAAGGATCCAGATCGGGATTCAGATCTGCCTGCTCCCAGTGCACTAGAGGAACGCACGGTGCTGCTCACAGCGCCCTCTTGTCCCTCACCACTGGAAATCCTACCGAGTGATTGGAAGGTGTCCAGCAACACACACCTTATTTAGGCGGCACCCACCTCCTGGTAGAAACAGACGCTGAGTTTGGGAGGTGGGGCCCTTCCTCCTTCCATGTATCACCCAGTCCTGCGCTTAGGTGCCATCACATGCGCCCACTTGGGGTCTGGAATCTTGAGGAAGTAGCAGAAGGACCCAGGGACAGTGGTGTGTTTGCCACCCTGGGTCATGGGTCGAGTTGCTGACATCAGCAGCAACAGGAATGTCCCGAGATGTGTCCTGGGGAACTCTCCCTTTGGCAGCATCTTGACATCATCCCTGGACCCTGGTTCCCTTCATTCTTTCCCGCTTTCCACCCTGGCCTTGCAGCCTCTCACCAGTTCCTCGAGAGAACTCCTATTCTTCAAGAAAGCCCCACTTCTCCCTAAGCCAGGCAGCCTTGCAAGCGGTGGATGCACAGAGAGCCTCCACCCTCCGTCTTCTGGCCTGCCTCGCGCATGAAGCATTGTCAGCTTCCCCTGCCCATAGGGAATTCAGACCATAGCTTTTTGGGCCGTTAGAATAATATTTACTGGGCCAGAGTTTGTCAATAGCTCTGTGATGCCACAGGAGGTCTCGGAAAAATGAATACATTATGATTCCAAGGAAGAGCTTCAACATGAAGGAAATGGATCCCAGTGGGCATCTTTTCTAATTTTTTCCCTCTTTATTGCGTGCTCTTTGATGGTTTTCCAGCAGAGGTCGCAGACTCGCCTTCGCCGGCCGGCCAAGGAGCAAAGGGGCAGCGTCTGTGCGGCTGGCCCCGCCTCCGTCAGGGACCCCGACGCTCAGACCCCCCTACCCCCCTGAAGGCTGTAGGCAGGACCTCAGACCTGGCCGGGCCAGGTGGAATGATTTATTTCTCAGGCTCAACTGTAAGTTCACACCCAGTTGTGTGTGGAATCGACTGACTTTAAGTGCCAGCACCTACTGCACTATTGCCGCAAAGCTCTGTGTGGGTAGTTAGACCTCCTCTCTGTTCCACAGGCCTCCAGTGCGTGGACTTTCATTTCACTAGTTGGAGTGGGAGATTCAGGAGAGTCTGTTACCCAGAATATCCCGGCAAGAGTGCCGAAGGGAGTGAGTTAGGAAGGGTTCTAATCGGTTACCCTCCATGTTGGCAGAGTGTTTGTTTTAATCTGCTGCAACGCTTCTCGTCCCTGCCACAGTGAGCAGTTTCAAAGAGCACATTTATTCCTTTAACACGTGTTTATGGAGTTCCAGCCTTGTACCAAGTATTGTTCTGCTCAGTGGTGGCACAGTAGGGAATAAAACAGATAGAAATCCTCGCCCTTGTGTTTATCTTTTAGAGGAGGACAAGGACACAAAGCAAGAGAGATAAATAAAACGTCTGCTGGTTAGACAGTGATGTTCTAAGAATTAGAAACAAATAAATCAGGGGAAGGCGATATGAAATGTCAGGGCAGTGGTCACCAGGCCTCAGGCCGGTCACCGCCGGCAGCCTGCAGTCTGGTCTTGGGCTTAGCATAACCAAA